ATTCAAAATGGCCACTTTCTCCAACTGGTTAGGGGAGTTTGTTTGCTGAATCTGCTAGTGTGTTTTGTCTGAGTTGATGATGTTGTTTGTGGTAGCATAGGCAAGATAAAGGAGAAAATAGTCGTGGTGTGAGGAGCAGTGATGGCTGGCATTAGGGGAGTGACTCTGGGACGCCAGTGATCACTGTCTAGCCTCCTGGAGGTGTGGTGGGACCAACTAGACAAAACACTGGTGAAAGGAGGTTCCCACCTGATGACCCCAAAGACATGTTAGTTATCACTGCTCATTAGTCTGTATAGCTAAATTAATACTTATCATAGGATTTAGGATGTTAAGCTTAGGGAGCTATTCACTGAGTCTGGTCCATTTTCTGTAGCACAAGTTTCTTGTGTTTACCTTAAATTGGAACCTTTATACTACATGAGCTAAGGCACAAAAGAAACTCACACCTTCCCTCCCCCACACACCAGGTGTTTTCAGCAGCCATTTTGAGGAGTTTATTTGTTTACTACCATCTTGTTTTTAGTTTTTCGTCTTCATGCTATGTGGTCACAGCGACCATTTTGAATTGGCCATATTGCCTTGTCCCCTCAGACACACACTCACACAAACACACACGCAGACACGTATATACTTAGATTAGATATTGTGTGCTTTACTTTGTTACATTGTAAATTAATGACTTTTAGTATAAATACTGGTGTGTTCAAAGTTGCAGATGTGAATATTGCCTCTATGAACTTCGATCCTTCAACTGTCACTTACTTTTGATTGTGTTATTTTGCTTGTAGTTATTAAATTAATTATTTATCAGAGTCACAGATTAATAGTAAAAATTTTAGACTTAATATGTCTATCCACGCCTATTTTAGGTGGGTGCCGCATGGACTTTAGTTCATTCTCCACTTCCTTTGGCTGAGGTGTTCTGCAGCCTGATGGCAGTGGGAACAACGGATCTCCTGAACCTCTCTGTTCTGCAGCGCAGTGAGATGAGATGTTTGCTGCAGTTGTAGCCGCTTCTCTGTCCTGCCAGAATGTTGTGGAGAAGATGGTAGGTATTGTCCAACATTGCCTCCATCTTACATTGCATGCGTCTCTCCACAACAGTCCTGAGTGAGTCCAGCCTCCTGACAAGCATAGACCCAGCCTTTTTTACCAGCTTGTCTAGTCTTTTTGTGTTCATGTCTGACATGTTCTGCCCCAGCAGAGTGCAGTATAAAAAAGTACACTGGCCACCACTGACTGATAAAACATGTGCAGCATTTCGCTACAAACATCAAAGGACCTGAGCCTCCTGAATAATATGAGCCAGCTCTGCCCCTTTTGTTAGATTGCATCCGTGTTCAGGGACCAGTCCAGTTTACTGTCCAGGTGCACACCTAGGTATTTATAAGTATGCACCACCTCAATGTCCTTCCCTCAAATGTTGACTGGCTGGGCCTAAACCCCCGAAAGTCGATGACCATCTCATTGGTCTTGGAGGTGTTCAGAAGGAGGCAGTTTTTGTCACTCCATTTACTGAAGGCCATCGTCAGATCCCTGTACTCCTCTTCCTGCCCGTTTCTGATACACACCACAACAGCTGTCATCTGAGTATTTCTGGATGTGGCAGGACTCAGAGTATTTAAAGTCCACTGTATACAGGGTGAAAAGAAACAGAGCCAGAACAGTCCCCTGTGGAGCCCCTGTGCTGATCATCACTGTCCCTGAGACACAGTTACCCAACCTGATGTACTGTGGTCGTCTTGTCAGGTAATCCACAATCCAGGACATGAAGCAGGGATCCACCCCCATGCCTTCCAGCTTGTCTTTAAGAATGGGGGGGTTGGATGGTGTTAAATGCACTAGAGAAATCAAAGAACATGATCCTCATGTAACCATCTGGCTCATCCAAGTAAGAATGGGCCCGGTGGAGCATGTAAAGGACGGCATCATCCACTCCAATATGTTCTTTGTAGGCTAACTGTAGGGGGTCTAGTGCATGTTCAACCTGTGGCTTCAGAAGGTGGAGAAGCAGCCGCTCCAGGGTCTTCATGATGTGTGATGTGAGGGCCACCAGTCTGTAGTCATTTATCTCAGCTGGTCATCCTACTTTAGGGACCAGAACAAGTTTGATGTTTTCCATAGGACTGGGACCCTCGCTGTTTGTAAACTTAAGTTGAAGATCCTCTGGAGAGGCTCAGCCTCATCTGCTCTGCTGTAATGGACAGGAGACTTGACCCCAGTGTGGAGAGAGTTGCAGCTGCAGTGTCAGGTTGTGAAGGAGATGCCTGAGGGGAAGCTGCAGCTGAAGCAGTGGGAGAGAGAACATGTGAGGCTGTTTCAAACCTATTGTAAAACAGGCTGAACTCACCTGATGATGCCTGGCGTTTCTTCTCTTTATAGGCAGTGATGGTCCTCATCCCCTTCCACACCAGGGGCAGATCCAGAGTATTTTCATGTAGGTGGCACAGGGGGTAACAACAGTTAAACTTGGGGGGCCACCTAAGATAGAAAATAAAGGTCGCCACAGACTTCTCTCTTCACTATTTAGTCTACTAAGTGAATACAATTACTTTTCTTAGATTGTAGTCGAACAGTGTATTTCTGTCTTCATCTTGCTTTTGTTGGCTATATTACCTCTTTCCCCTTGTAACGAAGGTGAATACGTTTTCCTTTTCCACTGTAGACATTAAAATTCTGATTAACTTGTCCCCTTGTTAATCTTCTCATTAACATCTGGCTCTTCTGTGGATGCAAGGTATTGTGCAAGAATGACAGTTTACAGCCCTGTCAATTATCACATATATTACTATAATATAGTATTTATTACAATATTTTTGAAAATTATAACCCATACTTTGCATAATAAACAAGTAGTCTAACGCAGGATAAACAGCACAGTGAAATTGAAAGCAATATCATAAACTCTTAATCAGTAACCATGTCAGTGTTCTACACACTGAATACTATCCTACCTACCCACTATTCCACTAACTTAGCTAACTTAAGTTAAACCAGGTGGATTAAGCTAACCACATGTCTATCAAGTTGTTTAAGATCAGTTTCAGAACGAAACACATTTTATCGGTAGACTGCAAAACATTGTTGTGGCAATTCTAAAGAGCTCAAATATAACGTTACACTTCTTACCTCAACTCTGGTGCATATTGCTGCACTGATGCTGTAAACAGGAAGATGAAAGTCCGTGACTAAGTGGTGAAGTTACAGCATTTAGTTGGCAGCACCATTTCCTGTACATGTATTTTAAAACAAAAGCACCAATCCTTTACTTTCAGTTCAAGTCCAGGTTTAAGTTTTATTTCTGTTTTATCATACAAGGGCAAGTGGCAAGGAGCTTTACACAAACATTTACATCACTAAGTGCCAATGACAATTGGGGGGCACACGGGGTGACCAAACAGATTACAGGGGACACAACAACACCTCTCTGGTCTCTGGTGTTGTTGTGCTGCAGCTTCCTCTCTACTTTCTTTTTGTAATCCTCCTTTGCCTGCTTTAATCTCTTCTTCAGCTCATGTTGCACACACCTGAGCTTCTCCCTGTCTCCATCCCTGAAGGCCTTTTTCTGGTTGAGGAGGGTCTTGATGTTACTGATGATCCAGGGTTTGTTGTTTGGAAAGCAGTGTATAGTCCTTGCTGGTATTACAGTGTCCATACAGAAGTTAAGTCTGTGGTACATTCAACCATTCTATTAAGGTCAGGGTCCTTGCTTTTATCATTTTCCTGTGACTCCTACAGTAGATTCCAATCTGTGCACTCAAAACAGTCTTTTAAAGACTCACTGGCCTCCGGGGTCAAGTTCCTGAATCAGCAGGTGGTTGTAGCCTGCCTCAGTACACAGGGCTTGTATAAAGTCTGAAGCAAAAACAGATTATGATCTGATCTGCCAAGTGGTGGTAGAGCTGAAGCAGTGTAGGCCCTGCTTGACTTTTGCATAGATTTTGCAGAGATCAAGTGTCTTATTTTCCCTTGTGGGACAGTCAACACACTGAGTGAAGCCAATCAGGTTAGAGGTCAACTGCATCAGGGTGCTGGGTCTGTACTCTCGCAACAGTCTCGTGAATGACGTCACACGCGACTGACGGCTCTGCTCATGTTTGAATGTAAACAACAATGGTGACAATGTGTGAGAACTACCTCGGTACATAGTATGGTCTAAGAACAACAGCCAACAGTTCAATATCCCGACAGCAGATCTTCTCTTTCACTGTGATGTGACCGGGGTTGCACAATCTATTGTTCACAAGCAGAACCAGTCCTCCTTTATTCTTCCCACTTGCTCCGGCGTCTCTGTCCACTCGTACTGCAGTGAAGCTGGGTAAATCCACACAACAGTCGCGAGTGTTGTCGTTTAACCAGGTCTCTGTGAAACACATGAGACTACACTCACGATATGCTCGCGTGTTCTTCACAAGTGCCTCCAGTTTGTCACACTTGTTAGCCAGGGAGTTGACATTTCCCATGAGGATCGATGGTAGAAAAGGCTTATATCTCCATCATTTAGTACATTCACTCCAAATGTAAAGTCCTGTTTTATTCTGAACTTCATTTATTGGGACTAGAGTCTTAATGAGGCTCCACAGGCTCTAACACTGTGATTAGTAAATATTAAAATAGTATGAAGCAGTTACAGAATGACTCACAATAAATAATGACAAATGATGCTGAAAGAAACATTGACAAACAAACACATTATTTTTGTTTATGAATTGTAAAATTGTTATGGCTGTGTAAACATTAAAACTTATACTGATGATAATGAATGAAGCTCTGTGAAGTTGGTTATGTCTCACCTAACTTAACTTGGACCGCGCTGGAAAACCATGTGTTCACATGGTCAAAGGAATGTGCGAGGTGACACATCCTATCTTCATAAATACTCATGTGCAGGAAAAGGTGTACGCATGTTTTCTGTGCGTACACATCATTTATGCATCTGGCCCCTGATGTCTATGGGCCTACTTCACACAGTCTCGCACGCTTACACACACACACACCTTGTATATCCCCTGGTCACAGCCATTGTAAGTGCTCTCCATTGTGTAACTCCTGAGCACACCCATCTCCCTCCAGACCACCACCCTGGCTGTGGCAGAGCGAGACTTCTCCACCTGAGGATGGAGACAGCTCAGATATGACATCACATCATATCTACTGTCAACAAATGAATGAAGGCCACATCATATCAGTAATACTACAGTATCATAATGATGATAATGGTGGTGATGATGAGACTCATGATAAGACTGAGGGAGGAGGTAATGATGAAGATAAGGTGATGGGTAGTGGTAGCGATGATGAGAATAATGATGATAAACCTAACAAAAACTATAATGGCAAATATACTGGTTATGAAAACAAAGTCAATAAATTTAGACTATGTGTGATAATGATTAATTAATGAAAGGAATAATCATGATTATTATAATTATTGTTGATACCAAATAGTTGCAGCTGTTGAATGAAAAAGCCGGAGCGATACGATCCAGGGTCTTCGGTATGGTCTAGAGAGAGAGAGAGACAGACAGAGAGAGAGAGAGAGAGAGAGAGATTTTTCAAACCACTTATTTGCTCAATAACAAATTTTTAAGAAATAAATAAAACAAAACTCCAAAATAAATTTAATAAATTAAACTGTACTCATTTCCAATTTTCCTCTCCTGTTGTACCTGTAGCCCAGAATGAACATTTGTTGTGAGAAAACCTTGTCATACAAACCAAACATCTGAAACAAAAACCGAAACAGAGACAAGAGTTGACCACACTCTAAATAAACAATGAAAAACAGTCTCTCCCTGTGTACAGAAGGGACAGGTATCAGCAACATTTGGATTAATCACAGAAACAAAATCATTCACAGCAACAACACCATGCAGAACCCTCCACTGTAAATCACCAACCCTCTGTTAATGGTGGTTTGTACAGAGCACTCCACTCAGGTCTGTGAGCCTCTGTCAAGGACAGATGAGTCCTCCAGGGAGTGTCAACTTGACCTTTTAGTTTGTTCTGATTTAAAAGTTTTACTAGTAAGTAGTACATTGTTTTTCCAACCATGCTACTCAGTTTGTAATCAGCAACATTCAACTTCAACAACAAACCATCACATGTAAAAACAGGAACAATGTTCACATCTGGAAGAGGATCAATAACATCACGCTGAATCAGTCCATTACAATAAGCAGCCGTCAGTAACAGTTCAGAGGGAGTTAGCTGCTGTTTCCAGCCTCTCAGTAGGAGACTGATCACTCTGACTGACCTGATCCCCAAACGTGAGGCCAGATCTGGTCCGTTATCTTGGCCTCACACAGTTTCTGAAGCAGGGGTGGCCCGGCTTCACACCGGAGACAAGTCCCGTGAACCACTGGCTCTTTAAGAAGCCAGAACAAAGAAACATCGTTCTTTGGTCGCTCCTTACAGAACATTCCCCAGACTTTGAAAAGTCCTTTATAAAAACATGGAAGGTTGTCCAACTTACATCCATTTAGATCCATTAAAAACAACAACTCAGCCGGACCCAGCCCACCACACCGCTCAAGTATGGCTCGAGCTACAGGTCTCCAAAGCAGGTCAGCAGGTCCAGTCAGGAATCTTTGGATAAACTGGAGCCTGAAAGCAGCCCCCCTGTTTGCCAAGTGGACGAGACCATGTCCCCGTTCCTCCTTGGGCAGAAAGAGGTCACTCCATGGGACCCAGTGCAGATGGTCCCAAAAGAAATCCACCATGACAGCCTGCACTCTGGACAGCAGGTTTACAGGAGGGAGCGCCAGCTGGTGCCACAACATAGAGGACACAAGGTTGTTGATAATCAGGATCCGACTTTTAAAGGACAGTTTCGGTAAAATCCACTTCCATTTTTTAAGTCGGCCTTCGACTCTTTCAAGAAGATTTTCCCAGTTTTTAGAAGAGAGGGCTTCATCACCGAGGTAAACCCCAAGATATTTAAGTCCTCCTCTCTTCCACACGAGGCCTCCAGGTAAAATCAGCCTGTTAGTCCGTCCTTCACCCACTGCTAAGGCTTCACTTTTTCCCCAGTTCATTTTAGCAGAGGAGAGTCTACTAAAATCACTCAGTGTCATCAAGAACATTAATGTCATGTTGTTTCTTTATAAAAACAACATCACCATCGGCATTTGCAGACAATTTATAACAATTTTCACACCCAGGAAAAGAAAAACCCGACAAACGTAACCTTTATTTATGCAGAAAGGGCTCTATGGCCAGTGCATATAACATACCTGACAAAGAGCAACCCTGTCTGACTCCCCTCTGAACTCTAAATGGAGCGCTAAAACCACCATTCATCTTAAGTACCTTGTACAAGACCTGGATCTTGGCTATGAGACCAGAGCTGAACCCAAAAGCCTGCAATGTCTGCCACAAGTACTGGTGTTCAACTCGGTCAAAAGCCTTTTCTTGATCTAGAAAAATCAGACCAAGCTTACAGCCCAAAGAACCAGAGAGGTTCAAAATGTCCCGAATGTTGTCTGATATCAACCTGCTGGGTACACAGTATGTCTGGTCTACATGAATGACAAGCTCCATCACTTTTCTCAGTCGCACTGCCAATACTTTTGACAACAGTTTGTAATCTGTGCAAAGTAAAGACACAGGATGCCAGTTTTTAATGTCCTGCAGGTCTCCTTTCTTTGGGAGGAGGGTGAGCACAGCTCTCCCGCCACTCAGAGGGAACCTCCCCGTACGTAGACTGTCCTGGAGAACACACAACAGGTCCTCTCTAATGATAGACCAGAAGGTCTTATAAAAGTCCGCAGGAAAACCGTCTATCCCGGGAGCATTCTTGCTCTGCAGGGCCTCCTGCAGCTCTTGAGCAGAGAGCTGCACCTCCAGCTCTGCATTATCCTCCTCAGAGACCTTAGGAAGGCCCTCATAGAAGCACAGCACCACCTCTGGTTCTTCCTGGAACTCCGTCTTGTACAGCTCCTGGTAAAAGCCAACAGCACACTGACAAATCTGAGCCAACTCCTGCAGCAGCTGCCCCGTGTCAGACCGCAGAGAGTGTATCAGCCTCTTCTGACCAGTCTTATGTTCCAGACCAAAGTGAGAGAAAGAAAAGTGAGACGGAGCATCCATTTTAACCACATTCTGGAAACGAGATCGAGCCAGAGGACCCTGATCAGAAATACCCAGCAGGTCAGACAGAGCTGATCTTTTGCCTTTGAGGACTTGAATGTGTTCTCGTTCTCCGGTGGAGTCTGCTGAATCCTGCAGCTCTACCACTTCTCTCTCCATAGCTCTCATAGCTCTGGACATGTCCTTTGTGACATTGAAAGTGTACTGTAGGCAAAGCTGTTTGATTTTAACTTTCCCTACATCCCACCACTGCTGTAAAGAACTGCACTCAGCTCTAGTCTGTCTGTGATTGTTCCAAAAACACCTGAATATATTTTTAAACACATTATCAGACAGCAGAGGGACATTAAAGTGCCAGTGTGCACTTTTACATTTCACATATTTTATAAAAATGGAAAACTGTACAAGGGAATGATCAGATATACCAATCGGACTGATAGAACAACCTTTAAATATATTAATGTGATGTTCAAAACAATAAAGTCGATCACATCTGGCCAGAGATAAAAAGTTATCTTTGGAGTGAACCCAGATGTATCGCCTCTGACTTTTATGAAAATGTCTCCAAACATCACAGTTCAAAAGTTTCTAGCAGCTTAATGAGACAACTCTTAGAAGCAGCGTGTGGTTCCTGATGGTTCCTGTCTAACGAAAGGTTTTCTGTGCAGTTAAAGTCACCACCCAGAAATAGATGTTCTTCACTGCTACAATCCCTAACAACATATTTTAACGTGTCCAAAAACAACAGTCTTTCTGAACCCACACTCGGAACATACACATTTATAAAAATTTTTACTTTTTCAAAGTCAGCACATATTTTCAACAGCCGACCTGGAATGATTTCATGAACAGTACAGGAACAATGTAGGAAATCTTCAGAAAAGAGAATACCAACTCCCCCACTGTTACTGCTCTTATGACTGAAGACAGCCCCCCCACTCCATTCCCTCTTCCAGCCAGATTCATTATCAGCAGTACTGTGAGTTTCCTGAAGGAACATTACATTTATCTTCTTGATCTTAATCAGACTAAACAGAGAGGCTCTCTTAACATCCTCTCCAGCTCCATTAATGTTTAAAGAACCAAGTTTTATGTCACACATGTTTATTATAAAGCAGCATCCTGACAAAAACAAAATAAAACAATAAAAGAATAAGAAAAAAAAAAAAAAACGTATTCATTGTTTGCTATTTGGGCTTGAACCTTCGTGAACAGTTTACTCAAATTCATCGATGCAATACCTGAAAACTAAATTCAGTTCCTTGTTATTTTTTTTTGAGGATCATAAACACCTATCTTCTGAAGAACATGACGTGCTTAAGGTGTGGATATTTACAGCTGAGAGGGATCAATCTGATCGGTGACACTAACTGTCCGTGTCGGGTCAGCTCCTTCTCCAAATTCTTATTCCTCAGAAACGGGGGCACATTGGAAATAATGACTCTTTTAGCGGGGATGACCAGAGACAACACCGGAGTCAGAGTTCCCTGAATCACCACTCCACTTTCAACCAGCTCCTTCACTTTATCGATGCTGTCCAGAAAAATAACCACAGCACTGTTCATTCTGGAGGCAGATTTAACACTGCCATACCCCACAACTGCCCCCACAGCCAGGCTGCACTCTTCCCCTGGCACACCGACAGCCGGAGAAAGTTTAACAGCATGCCGGCAAGTCAGCTTCTCCAACCCGGAGACGCCTCGCACCGCCATGCTCGGCCGTGTAGCTGAAGGAGCAGCCGCCAAACAAATGTTGGGTCTGAGCTCTACCTCATGAGCTGGACACCAACTATGTGTTGAATTTTGGTTGTTTATCAATTTATTGGCTATCATAAATTAAGAAAATATTAATATTAAAAATATTAATATTAAATAATAACTTTAAAATTAATTAAAGTTCACGGGGCACCAGCCTAAACTAATAGGCAAAATAGCCAATATGGTTTTAGTCTCAAATTATTACCATTAATCTGGAACTCTGATTAACAATTAGCTTACTAACTATAACCAAACTACCAAATCAACAGTAAGTTAAAGTTGAAGGATTGGAATTCTACAAAGTAGAGGTTGGCAATATTCACGCTTGTGCAACATTAAACACACCAGTAGTTATACTTAAAGGCATTTATTTACCATGGAGCAGAGTAAAACACAATGTCTGATCTAGTATATACAGGTGTGTGTGTGTGTGTGTGTGTGTGTGTGTGTTTGTGTGTGTGTTTGTGAGGACACAAACAAAGGCAAGATGGCCGATTCAAAGTGGTCACTGTGACCACATGATCTGAACAAAGAAGACTACACAAGATGGCGGTAAACAAAGAAACTACTCAAAATGGCCGCTGAGACCACCTGGGGTGTGTGAGAGGGAAGGTGTGAGTTTCTTTGTTAGCCTAGCTCATGTAATCTAAAGGTAC